AAATATTTCCAGCTCAGTAGCAACATGTTTCACGTGAAAATCTGGATCTGTGCTGGCCTCCTGCTGTCCCTCCCTCACTGCACGTATCAGTCGTGCACAGAAGGGACACCAAAACAGTGCGCCGATGCAGAATTTGCTCCGGGAGCCAATTTGGCCGGGGAGGGCTTTGATATCACCAAAATGGAACGTAAAGGAGCCTTTGTGCTCGACATGAATCAGTGGAAACGTAAAGATAAAACATGCATGCTGTGTGCCAACCCTTTCTTGGAGAACAAAAAGCAAAAGCTACCCCTGACAGTGGTGGACTGGAGGGCAAAGCAGTCCTGCAGCGCCAAAGTTTCCACCAAACTTCACAAATCCAGCGAGTCACTTCTCAGTTCCAGCGTTTCTTCTGTTGAAAACAACTGGAAGGTGAATCTAGATCTTCAAGCGGGGAGTAAAAGTGCGTCACTGATGCTGGGTGGTACCAATTCTCATCTCTCGAGTTACTCCATGGAGAAAACCAAGAATGACAAGTACAGCTTCGCAAGCCACAGCATGTCCTGCGAGTACTACAGGTAAGAATACGAGTACTCTGATGCGCTGTCTCTTTTTTATCAAGATAAAAATGCTGAAATGCAATTCTGATGTTTAATTGTTGTTCTGAAATCAGCTACAGAGTGTCCAGTGCTCCAAAGCTGCACAGAGAATTTCGCAAAGCTCTGAAAAAACTTCCCAAAACCTACAGCGCAGAAACCAAACAACGGTTTTACAAACTCATTGATGACTTTGGGACCCACTACATCACCAAGGTGAACCACAATAACAACAGTGCACCTGAAACACAGCAAAATTGTGTCAGTCATTTCTGAGTAACACATGCAAATTGTGTTGGATTATTTGATTCCAGGTGAAACTGGGGGGAAGTATCGAGTCTGTCACCAGCATCAGACAGTGCCAGGCCAGCCTTCAAGGGCTCAGTGCCGAGGAAGTGCAGATGTGCCTCGAAGTTGAAGCGTCTGCCAGTATTAAAGATAAAAAAATAAGTACTGAAGCAAAACACTGCAAAAAGGATATACAGCAGACAGACAGTAAGTCTGCCTTCTCCAGCCTCTTCAATGACAGGTATGTAAAAGTTTTCTCAGATATTTCTGATTTGTTATCTCTTCTAACCCCAGCGAGGTGTCAGACTTGTTCTTCCATTAACTAAACCATAATAATTAACAGCTATATTATGCCTTGTTTCTGGTGGCTTCAGAGTTAAACTCTTTAAAGACTGACTCCTCCAGAGTTGTTATGATTTCTTTCTGTCGCAGCTGTTCAAGCAACTCTGTGCTCCACAGGTTCACAGAAATAAAAGGTGGTCATACCACAGAGCCAGACCTTCTCTTCTCTGCGGACAAAAATCCAGAAGCCTACAAGGGATGGCTGAGCACATTACCACAAAACCCAGATATCGTGTCATATTCCCTGGACTCTCTGCATGAGTTACTACCTAGCACGAACAAAGTCAGAAAAAACCTGCGCTCTGCCATTAGCCATTACATCCTGGAGAAAGGCCTGTGGAGAAACTGCACTGATCGCTGTAAGGCTGGAATTAGAACCGACTCGAGGGATGCCTGCGTCTGCCAGTGCCACAATGACCCTGCCGTGAACCAAGATTGCTGCCCTGTTCGTAAGGGAATGGCACGGGTCATCATAACAATACAGCGGGCTTCTGGTCTGTGGGGCGACCACACCACCGGTACAGATGGATACGTGAAGGTGAATTTCAACAAATTAGAAGTCCGGCGTTCTCCTGTCATTTATAACAACAACAACCCACACTGGGGCATGGTCGTCGACCTGGGCTCAGAGGATATTTCATCAGCTAAACTGAGATTTGAAGTTTGGGATGAAGACAACAAGTGGGATGATGACCTATTAGGAGCATGTGAGCCACTTCTGACTGCTGGAGTTAAAAAGGATCTCTGTAATCTGAACCACGGCCAACTGTTCTACAAAGTGGATGTGCAGTGCGCTCCAAGTCTGAGCGGAAAGTCGTGCACGGACTATAAACCTTCACCTATGAATTCAAGTCTGAAGAAGTTCTATGTGTCCCGTCATGCTCGTCCTATTCCAGAGGCCATCCTGTCAGAGATGGGTGTGTTTGTGGACCAATCAAGTTCAGGGAAAAATGTTGTTGCCGAGAGTCCCAAATATGATGTAATATTAGTGTGATGCGGTGAAGAAAATTGGCTTCGCTAAGACGATGAGTTATCAACAGTTTTATTTTAGTCTTGATGTTTTTGAAACTTCTTGTAATGACTCTGAAAGGTAGCAGCTGAAAGTAGAAGAAGTTAAACTTACGTGTCAAAAAAGCCCATTGGCATAATGCAGACATGTAGGCACTCTGCGCAAGGTCCTACTATCTCTTTAGCTTTATGACGAGGTGCTTCCTTCTTAAAGATTTGCGCAACAGTGTGGCATACAGCAGTTTATTCAGTGAAGTGTGAACAAACATGACTCCCACACTACGAGCCACATGCAGTTCTGATGGCTCAGACTGATGTCATTACTTCAGTCTAGGTGGCTTTTAACCCACTTGCATCTGGCTTTAACGCCTGGCTAGGGAGGCTATGTCTGGGTAGCATCTTGCACCAAGGCTAAGGGTGTGTACATATAACTGCGGTTACAAACTTACATATGGTTCACATGTCCTACTATGTATAAATACGTACCGGTATGTATATATATTTTTCATAAATAAATATGGAAAATGTAGTGAAAATTTTGCACTTTGCTTGCTTGGGGTTGGACCCCTTTTTCCCTTCAGAACTGTGTTGATAACAAAGATTCAACAAGGTATTGGACACATTCCTTAGAGTTTTGGTCTATACTGATGAAATACTATGACACAATTTTGGTGCCGTCCCACTCAAAGTCAACTGCCGTTACATACTTATATATGGTTCACATGTCCCATAATGTATAGACATGTAAAAAATAAATAAATCATATGCACATATGGAAAGTTTGTAGCCTGAGTATAGATTTAAAAATGACAATTTGTTCTTGTATGCCACTAGTAACAAGTGTATTAAATACATAGAAGAAACCTGTTATCCTTCAGTAATAATATTACAATAATAGGTTATATATCCCGGTATTTTAGAGAAATCCAGAACAAACTTTGTGCAAACAATGTAAATAGTTATTGATGTGTGAAACATTATTCTCTTTGATGAATGATTTCTGATTGATAGTGGTGCGTGTCTGCAGTTTGCATGTTTTCTTTCCCTCTCCCTTTGCTCGCCATTTCCCTAGGTACACAGACTGCAGGCTGGTGTCAATTTGGGGGTCTCCAGCTAATTAGGGGAAAGAGGCTTTGAATGGACAAACCTGGAGTCCACACCCTGATAAGGAAACTCACCTGTGGCTGGAGGCGTGTCTCTATTCCTTGTTTGGAATTGTTTGGCACATGTGTGGAGCTCCTCTGGTGCATTTCTTTTGTTTGAAGGTTGTGGTGGGAGTAAAGAGGAGTAGGTAAGTCTGTAGACCCCATATACTTACTGACGTAGAATCTTTACTGTTAGAAACATTAGGTAAGTTGGTTGGTGCCACCCATGTCATTTTTGAGCTTGTTTTGAGTTGAGGATTAGGACTTTTTTTCCCTCCTAGATTTTCGAGGGTAAGAGCTCAGCTAAGTTTTGGTTTTGTCTTTTTTGGTGTTTTTTCTGGCGCAACCTAACTGTCCCTTTCTCCCCCACATTTTTTGGGTCATTGTTTTTTGTGTGAAAGCTGCCATTAAACTTGTCTCAACATATAACACTTGTAATGAGTTTCTGGAGTTGCTGTGTTACCCCCTCCTGCCCTCGAGGAGGCGTAACAATAGGTAAACCCACTAATTCTATATGCTTAAGTGCTTTCTGTCTAACATTCACACAAGTTCATGCTTTAATGCATGCATCCAGGATTAACTTGAGGTTAGTATCTTGCCCAAGGATATTTGGCATGAAGACTGGAGCTGCCAAATGACCTGCTCCATCCCCTCAGCTGAGGGGATGGAGCAGGTGTGAATAAGAGCGTAAATGGTTTCCCCTCTGTTTTGTAGCACTGCAACAAACTGGTAACCTCTCCGGGCTGTACACTGGCTTTTGCCACATGACAGTTGGGATAAGCATGAACCTATAATATGGAATAAAAATTTAAAAAACAAAACAAAAAAACCCCCACAGCTAAATAGTATAAATCACCCAAGAAATGTAAAAGTGGTTTCACAGATCAGCAGGTGTACTTGCATACAGTGTCTTATAAAATGTTTCAAGTGTTGCACTCCTGAGTTGTCAGACAACTTTATATGAGGGCTGAACTGTCATCATCAGGCCAACTATGCTATTATTACTGCACAAAGATAAAGGACGAACTTGGAGTTCTGAGGAGTACTCGAAGGGAGTAGGTGATGTCCTGTAAACCTCTCATTAATGAGAACTGTGGAAGATCTGAACAATTTACACCACCCCTTACCTCTGCAGCCATCCTGTGACATGTAGCAACTACAATCCCACCTCTGTGCAGGCCACATGCGATGCAAATCATGTGGTCCAGGTTTCACTATGACTCATTTCTGAAGAAATGCAATGGAAAGAACAACGTGACATTTTTTTTTAAAATTTCCTTATGTTTCCTTCAGTTCCACTTCTGTCTGAAAAGCTGTTTAACACTTGACCTTTACACTGATTTTATTCTATTACCTTGTGTCAAATGTATTCACAGTTAATGTCAAGCAGATATTAGTTTGATAAAGCTTTTGTACGTGGGAAAACAGTTGCAAGAAATGAAGCATCATTTCCTCTCACCTGTGGCCAGTGTCCACAAACACACGAGACAAATAGCAGGTTTAGTTTGTGGTCACAAACTGTTAAACCAGCCCCCTACTTTTTTTTCCAACAGTATGACCTCATCATTTATCTTCAGTCTTTCTTGTTTGTCTTTAAAACGGTATACTAATACTGATGTTCACAGTCTGATGCACTTGTGAAGCAAAAGCACACAAGAGAAGGTGAGTAGTCTCGACTTTAGAGTATGCATTTAGGCTAATGACCAAATTAGTGAGCCTGAAAATCTGGGGTTACTGAAGCTCTGCAGGGACACTTTTCATGCTCTTTAAATTTATCCAACTTTGTTTTAAAAAAGAAGTAACAATGTTTTTTTAAAGGTACAAATCTGATGTTAAAAATCTGATTATAATTTGAAACCAAAATATTTTAACTTCTGGTTCTTTTCTACTTCGTTAAAACACCTTCAGTAGATTCTGAAATGATATCTTCATAACCTTCTGTACAGACTTTTTTTAAAAGATTATATTTGTATAAATCTTTTGGTGTTTTTTTTATCTATATTCAGGTTAAAAAATTTATTATTTATACAAAACAAACCAAATCTACTGATTATATTGCACTCATTCTCATTCAGCTTAACAGGCTCCCATTCTTTAATGTAGACTCAAGACTGCTGCTCAATACAAGATTTCGCTACTCACCTTCAAAGCTGTCAGTGAATGGGCATCCCCATATCATCTGGATCTCCTTCACCCATACATCACTTTGTGCTTTTCGCTGAGCTTCAGCTGCTCTAATGAGTCCTCGTTTGAAACATGGATCTCGGACCGTTAGCTGTGCTGTGCTTCGTCTTTGGACTCATGATCACCTTCTAGGGGCTATGAATACAGACACCCAGAAGTTGAAATTTTCAGTTGTATTCAAAATAAAAAGAATGAATATTTAGGCATTTAATTTGACAGATGAAAACCATCATTGACTTTAAGCACAAGAAGGTTGTTTTAAGAAGTTAGAAATAACAGAACGTACTATATACTGCAGAACTGCTTCAGTTCTCTGTTTTTCACCTTAAATTGTTTCCTTTTCAGCTTTCAATAACACAGGCTTTCAATAAATATTTCCAGCTCAGTAACAACATGTTTTTTGTAAACATCTGGATCTGTGCTGGCCTCCTGCTGTCCCTCCCTCACTGCACGTATCAGTCGTGCATAGAAGGGACACCAAAACAGTGCGCCGATGCAGAATTTGCTCCGGGAGCCAATTTGGCCGGGGAGGGCTTTGATATCACCAAAATGGAACGTAAAGGAGCCTTTGTGCTCGACATGAATCAGTGGAAACGTAAAGATGAAACATGCATCCTGTGTACCAACCCTTTCTTGGAGAACAAAAACCAAAAGCTACCCCTGACAGTGGTGGACTGGAGAGCAAAGCAGTCCTGCAGCGCCAAAGTTTCCACCAAACTTCACAAATCCAGCGAGTCACTTGTCGGTTCCAGTGTCTCCTCTGTTGAAAACAACTGGAAGGTGAATCTAGATCTTCAAGTGGGGAATAAAGGTGCATCACTGATGCTGGCTGGTACCAATTCTCATCTCTCGAGTTACTCCATGGAGAAAACCAAGAATGACAAGTACAGCTTCGCAAGCCACAGCATGTCCTGCGAGTACTACAGGTAAGAATACGAGTACTCTGATGCGCTGTCTCTTTTTTATCAAGATAAAAATGCTGAAATGCAATTCTGATGTTTAATTGTTGTTCTGAAATCAGCTACAGAGTGTCCAGTGCTCCAAAGCTGCACAGAGAATTTCGCAAAGCTCTGAAAAAGCTTCCCAAAACCTACAGCGCAGAAACCAAACAACAGTTTTACAAACTCATTGATGACTTTGGGACCCACTACATCACCAAGGTGAACCACAATAACAACAGTGCACCTGAAACACAGCAAAATTGTGTCAGTCATTTCTGAGTAACACATGCAAATTGTGTTGGAATATTTGATTCCAGGTGAAACTGGGGGGAAGTATCGAGTCTGTCACCAGCATCAGACAGTGCCAGGCCAGCCTTAAGGGGCTCAGTGCCGAGGAAGTGCAGATGTGCCTCGAAGTTGAAGCGTCTGCAAGTATTAAAGCTACAATAAGTACTCAAACAAAACACTGCAAAAAGGATATACAGCAGACAGACAGTAAGTCTGCCTTCTCCAGCCTCTTTAATGACAGGTATGTAAAAGTTTTCTCAGATATTTCTGATTTGTTATCTCTTCTAACCCCAGCGAGGTGTCAGACTTGTTCTTCCATATCTAAACCATAATAATTAACAGCTATATTATGCCTTGTTTCTGGTGGCTTCAGAGTTAAACTCTTTAAAGACTGACTCCTCCAGAGTTGTTATGATTTCCTTCTGTCGCAGCTGTTCAAGCAACTCTGTCCTCCACAGGTTCACAGAAATAAAAGGTGGTCATACCACAGAGCCAGACCTTCTCTTCTCTGCGGACAAAAATCCAGAAGCCTACAAGGGATGGCTGAGCACATTACCACAAAACCCAGATATCGTGTCATATTCCCTGGACTCTCTGCATGAGTTACTACCTAGCACGAACAAAGTCAGAAAAAACCTGCGCTCTGCCATTAGCCATTACATCCTGGAGAAAGGCCTGTGGAGAAACTGCACTGATCGCTGTAAGGCTGGAATTAGAACCGACTCGAGGGATGCCTGCGTCTGCCAGTGCCACAATGACCCTGCCGTGAACCAAGATTGCTGCCCTGTTCGTAAGGGAATGGCACGGGTCATCATAACAATACAGCGGGCTTCTGGTCTGTGGGGCGACCACACCACCGGTACAGATGGATACGTGAAGGTGATTTTCAACAAATTAGAAGTCCGGCGTTCTCCTGTCATTTATAACAACAACAACCCACACTGGGGCATGGTCGTCGACCTGGGCTCAGAGGATATTTCATCAGCTAAACTGAGATTTGAAGTTTGGGATGAAGACAACAAGTGGGATGATGACCTATTAGGAGCATGTGAGCCACTTCTGACTGCTGGAGTTAAAAAGGATCTCTGTAATCTGAACCACGGCCAACTGTTCTACAAAGTGGATGTGCAGTGCGCTCCAAGTCTGAGCGGAAAGTCGTGCACGGACTATAAACCTTCACCTATGAATTCAAGTCTGAAGAAGTTCTATGTGTCCCGTCATGCTCGTCCTATTCCAGAGGCCATCCTGTCAGAGATGGGTGTGTTTGTGGACCAATCAAGTTCATGGAAAAATCAGAGCATTACTACCGAGAGTCCCGAGTATGATAGTGTGATGCGGTGAAGAAAAATTGGCTTCGCTAAGTAGTTAAGTGTTAGGATACCTGGGTGGTTGACCCAGTGTTTTCAATTAATACAGTTTTGAGTCTTGTTTATTCATTATAGTTGCCTTGTATCTTGTGTTTTTTAGTTTAGTTTGCTTACTCTCTTGAATTTATTCAGTATTCTTAGTTTAGGTTGTCTTGGTACGTATATGGTCCCGTTGATGTCTTTGTCTTGTCTCTGTGTCCTTCCCTCAGCTTTGCCCCCATTAAATCAGGCTTGTCTTCATGTTTGCCTGGTTCTCTACTTTCACACTCGTGTTTCTATGTGTGTGTCTCTCTGTCCCTCGCCCTCTCCGGTTCTGTCAGTCTGTGTCTCAGTGTGCGTGATTCTTGTTTTACTTGGTGGTGTGCATCATGTTCAGTTTAGCGGCCCCCTGTGTCGTCTGCTAGATTGTTGCCAGCCGTGTTCCCCAGGTGTTTCCTCTTTGCCCTTATTCCCTCTTGTATTTAGGGTCTGTCCCGCCCCCCAATATCCCTTACTCTCAGCTGTGTGTTCTGCCTGGTTGTCTAGTTTCCAATACCTTCCAGTTTAGTTTTGTATTTCTATAGTACAGCAATAAAACTGCTTTTTGTCATTTTGGGTCCTCCAATCCTGCCCACTTCACACAACACTTGACAAAAAGGTATCTTTAAATTTTTATTTTAGTCTTGATGTTAGTTGAAACAGTTTGTAATGAGTAAATCGAGCAGCCGAAAGAAGAAAAAGTTAAATGGGCCTAATGCAGCATGTAGGCTGGGAAGGATGCCATTGCTTCACTCTAGGTGGCTTTCAACCCACTTGCATCTGGTTTTAACGCCTGACGAGGCGACCTAACCCTGTGTAGCATCTTTCACCAAGGTTAAGGGTGTGTACATATTCATAAATAGCTGTTGTGGTAAGCACCATGACTCAGAGTGGTGCCTTCTCATTCAAAATGAACTGCGGTTACATACTTACATATGTTTCACATGTCCTGTTATGTATAAATACATATGTACATATATATATATATTTCATACATACATATGGAAAATGTATTGGAACATTTGCACTTTGCTTGCTTGGGGTTGGACCCCTTTTTTCCTTCAGAGCTGTGTTGATAACAAAGATTCAATAAAGTATGTGACGCATTCCTTAGAGATTTGGTCTATACTGATGAAATACTATGGCACAATTTTTCAAATTTGTCAAAGGCAGATTAATGATGCAAATTTCCCATTCCACCACATTCCAAAGGTCTTCTTTTGGATTGAAATATGCTGACTATCGATGCCATTTCAGTTCAATGAACTCATTGTCTTGTTTGAGGAACCTGTTTGAGATGAGTGCCTGGAGTGTGCCAAGAAAATATCCTGATATTACACCATCAGCAGGAGGTTAGCCTGTATGAATTGTAGCCTCAGATTCCTGTTCTTAGTTAGCAGATGATCTTCAAAGATCATAGATTATCTTCTGCATACCTTCATTGCAACAAGTCAGTGTTTAAGTTACTTTTACCTTTCTATCTGTTGAAAGATCTCTTTTGACTTGTGGCATCACCAAGGGTTTCAAGGATATTTAAGCACCAACAAACATGCCATCTCCAATGTCACTTCAGTCACCCTTCTGCCCCATTATGCCACATTATGATGCTCAGTTTGCTGATGCATAATTCTAGAATAATATAAAATAATGTAGATAATTATCATCAGTAGTTTATACAACCTTGTATTTTAGAATGTAGAACAAACTTTGTGAAAAAAAAATGAAAATAGGTATTACTGTGTCAGTAGGAAAGATAACTTTACTTTCTCGAGAATTGTGGAACATGGCTTTATACAATATGCCTCATTCACCCATTCATGCAAGCACTTTTTTCCTATACGCTTAAGTGCTTTTGATCTAACAATAACACGCATTCATACTCTGATGGAATTATCAGACGGTAATCTGGGGTTAATGTCTTGCCCAAGGATATTTGACATGCAGACTGGAGCAGCCAGGGACCAGCCTTCTGATAGTTAGGCCTGCTGTTGACTTACTCTACCCCCTGAGTACAGCCACCGAAGGTGTGAATAGTTTTCTGTCTGCAGCAAACTGACAACCTCTCCAGGCCGTATCCTGCCTTTTGACAGCTGGGATAGCCTCCAGCCTACTGTCATCATTGGGCCAACTTTGCTATTATTACTGCACAAAATTAAAGGATATACTTTGAGTTCTCAGGAGCAGGTGACGTCCTGTAAAGCCCTCATGATCAAGAACCGTGGAAGATCTGAACAATTTACACCACCCCTTACCTCTCAACCCACTCTACTGTGACCACCTTGTGGCATGTAGCAACTACAACCCCACCTCTGTGAAGGCCACATGCGATGTTAATCATGTGGTCCAGGTTTCACAATGACTCTTTTCTGACGAAATGCAGAATTGAGAGAAACAATATGACTTATTAATTACAATTCTTTATGTTTCACCCAGTTCCGCTTCTGTCTGAACATCTGTTTAACACTTGACCTTCACACTGATTTTATTCTGTTTTCTATTACCTTGCATCCAACTTATTCTCAGTTAATATCAATCAGATACTGGTTTGAGAAACATTTTGTACATGGGAAAACAGTTGCAAGAAATAAAGCATAATTTTTTCACACCTGTGCCCGTTGTTCACAAGCACACGAGACAAATAGCAGGTTTAGTTTGTGGTCACAAACTGTTAAACCAGCCCCCTACTTTTTTTTCCACAACACGAACCCATTAGTTATGTTCAATCATTCTTGTTTGTCTTTAAAACACAGTACACTGATACTGATGCTCACAGTCTGATGCAGGTGTGAAGCAAGAGTACACAAGAGAAGGTGAGTAGTCTCGACTTTAGAGTATGCATTGAGGCTACTGACCAAATTAGTGAGCCTGAAAATCTGGGGCTACTGAAATTCTGCAGAAGCACTTTTCATGATTCAACTGACTTTATTTGAAAAGCAAAGACAGAAGGAAAGATGGTTTTTATGGTACAAATCTGATCTTAAAATATTTTTGGTTTCAAATTAGAATCAGATTTTTAACTTTTGGTTCTTTTCTGCTTCATTGAACTACCTTCAGTAGATTAAAAAAATAATATATTCTTAACCTGAATACAGATTTACAAATTATTTTTATATTTTTTTGAGATCCCACTAGTAAGAAATATTTAAAAATATATATCTTTCTGATTTTTCTCTTTCTGATTGTGGGATATGCAAATAAGTTGTCGTAAATAAAGACTGTAATAATGAAAAAGTAAGTTCCTCTTATTCCTACTGACGTGGTATTAATAGTATTATGATTTATTTTAATCATAATAAATCTAGGTATGAGGAAACAAATTCCGTTATAGGGAAAAAACATTCGACATATCATCGGAAGACTGAAGCTGGTTTCTTAGTGTAAAATTCCTGGTCTAGAGTTGAGAATAGTAATAATTTATTTGTTCTTACAAATACATGTGAGGCATGGTGTTATATTGGTTAGCAACACTGCAACAAGACTCTGGGTTCGAATCCATTGACTGGATGGGGGCTTTCTGTGTTTTCCCCACCTGTGCGGGTGCTCTGGCATCCTCCCACAGTCCGAACCCATGCATGTATTAGGTTAACTGGTCATTCAAATTTGGCCGTGGGTACGAATGTGAGTATGAATGGTTTTCTGTCCGTGCGTTAGCCCTTCAACAAACTGGCAACCTGTCCAGAGTGCTGACTGGATGCCCTTCCAACTGCCTTGATCAAAGTCTATCTTCCTACACTGTAACCGATCATAACTACAAAAATTGAACCTAACCAACTATCGACCCATTTCCAACCTCCCATTTTTCTTTAACGTTCTGGAACATACAGTAGCATCAGTAGTAAACCTTTATGAGTCATTTCAGTCTGGTTTCCATTCTCGACACAGTACTGAACCAGCTCCTGTTAAAATCACCAGTGACCTCCAGCTCACATTCAATGCTGGCTTTCTCACCATCTTCATCGTTCTTGACTTCAGTGCTGGTTTTGACAAGCAGCACTGAAGCTCTTTAGTTAGAACATCTGAAAATAAGTACACAGCACTTAAAGTGGTTTACATCCTACCTGTCTGACAGAAAACTGACAGAAAAACGTATACCAAAAGGATGTCGTCCATCATTTTGGTATACATTTGGTATACAGAACTTCCCCCTCCTGTCCTCACCTCCTTCCTACAGGCCATCATCAGTGGGGTCACAGTCAATCAGCTAAAATTCCACTGGCAATAAAAGTGAAGTTCTATAGTGTTCTATAGATGGATATCAGGTACAAAATTCACATAGTGTCAGAAGTCTTTGAGTCATTTTGGAGAATACTCTCTATCAGTGAGATCTCTCCATCTTTGTAACTTTTCCTTTCTAGTTCATGCTTTGATCACCTGTTCTTTGGAATACTGGAATGCCATTCTCTCTGGCCTCCCAAAATAACGCCATAGTTTGCTCCGCATGGTACAGAACTCTGCAGCAAGCGTCATCACTCAAACCAAGACTACAGACAATATTACTCCCATTCTCATCCAGCTTCCACTCAACGTGGCACCAAGACTGTTGCCCAGTGTGACTTGAAACCTCTCACTGACTTGGCACCCCCATGTCTTTTAAACCTCCTTCAACCCTGCACCCCTTCCTCTGCCTTTCACTCAGGTTCATCTGCTTTCCTGACGCCTTACTTCAAACTTGACACTGTCAGTGCCCGAGCCTTAAGCTGTGCTGCACCTCATCTTTGGAACGCATTATAATTACACCTTCATCAGCTAGACTCTTTAACTCAGTTCATATCACAGCCCCAAACCCACCTTTCTCCATTCTGAGGAGCTGGTGTTAGTTTTAAAGCCGTTAACTGTTAAAAGAGTTGCAACAGATACAATGTTTTCTTCTCACCTTTGATCGGTGTCCACAACCACATGAGAAAAATAACAGGTTCATTTTGTGGCAACTGTTAGACCAGTCTAAACCCCCCTACT